CGGAATGCTGCTCTGTGTGAATGCAGAAGGAAAATTTCCAGAAAGAGAGTGTTCAAGATTAGAACGCACTGACATGAGACGTCCAGCTAATCAGATATGGCAATAAAAGCCTTTGGATACTTTTCCAGACACATTTAGCTGCTATTTGTTGGTCAGATAGCGTTTCTATGTTCCTTCTTAATGCCAACTGTGTAAAAAATATCAATAAAATGCTGCCGTTTGTTTACCTTCAAGCTCTGCTTGACGTGTGTGCACGTGAAGTGCAGGAGTGCTCCGGTGAGCAACAGCACACACACATATTACTGTATAAACATCTCGACTAGCAAAAGTGTTCCTCCATATGTTTTTATCAAAGTCGTTCACAATACTTATACATCCACAGAATTTGTAATACAGTCAAATGTGTAAACATTTAGCTGTGGTTAGTGCTTCTGCCTTTGGATGTCTCTGGGGGCATAGCTGCATGAATGCTAAAGCTTTAAATAAAAGTGAAACCAGCCGGATCCCTATTACGTTTACAAATAATTGTAGCCATTTTGAGCTCATTTCTGGTTAATGATGTCAGAATTTACCGATATTTTGGAATTGATGTGTGAAAAACTCCAGAACGTTCTAGCTTGTGTGAATAGTGTTTTTTTTTTAATTTACTAGTAAAGTCGTTCTGGTAATTTTCTGGATATTTACCGTAATCACTGCGTGAAAGGGGCTAAGGATTCCAGGGGTGTTATTTTACACGCAAACATGTTTTTTTTATTTTAATCATAATTTATTAAACTTTTTAATCATGTTTCAACCTATGTCTTTCTTTTTACTTATGTCAGCTATTTTGAATCGGTTTATTGTAATTCAAGTAAAAATTAATCATATGGTATATGGTATGTAATTTTATATCAGTGCAATTTCAGTTGCAAACAAATGCTGTTCTTTAACTTGTGGTTAAGCAAAGAGTCAAAAATTAAAGTCTCAAGGTGTCTAGGTAAGTATTAAGTAGCACACATTTTTAACTGTGATTAGTAATTATAGATGTTTTTTTTAGGAAGTCTACATATTGTAATTTCCGAGGGATGACTGGAATAATGGCTTCTGAAAATTCAGCTTTTCATCATAGAAATAAATTCAAATGTAAAATATATTACAACAGAAAACAGCTATTTTAAACTATAATAACATTTCCCAATTTTCCAAATTAATATGTCATGTATTACTGCATTTTAAATTAATTAGAGCCTCGATTCATCAAGGTCTCACAGTGAAGGATCATAAAGATTACATCCTAAAAGTGACTAGAAAAAAGGTCACAAACAACTACTTCATTTCCCAGTGTTGGGTTTCAGCTGTGTAAAACATATGTGGATAAGTTGGCGGTTCATTCCGCTGTGGTGACCCCTGATTAATAAAGAGAATAAGTCGAAAAGAAAATTATTGACAGCTACTTCATAATGTTCTCCAGCAAAAGATTTAATCCCAATCCACCATACTTGATGTCCCCATTCAAATGCATCTATGTTCATTTGCTTCACCATTTAAATGCATTCAAACAGCTCATAATCATGTTGGTTATTCCTCAAAAAAAGCACAATATTCATTATCAATTAGTCTCAACCAATTAGCTTGCATTCCTAATTCTTGGTCTGCTCTTTGTTCCTTTAATTAGTAAATTCATTAGTAATATCGCACGTTAGACGTTCCAGCAATGTATGATTTTGAGCCGCAGCAGTATTAAGTGGAAGATAATCAGCAGGAACTAATTGTCTAATTGCACCGATGAAGGTTATGATCGTTAGACTTTTCCGCAAGTCCAGTCATCTGACCGGACCATCCGAACCCTATACAGATGGCCACACTGTTAAGCTCACGGCAGGACAAAATGACAGACATCTACTATCCACGGGGAGCAAGACAAACGAGTGCGTGTGTGTGTGTCTTCGTACGTGCATATGTATATGCATGTGTGTGTGTGTTGTCCGCAGGGAGTAAGACGAACGAGTCGAGGGAGTGCTGATTCAATGCACTTCTTTCTTTTTCTTGCTTGAGAAAGTCCCTGCCTCCACAAAAATTGAATGTCCACCATTTGAGAAATGAATTCGTGGAAGTCACTGTCTTTTTTTCCCCATTAGTAAGTGTTTAGTTCAACGTTTTAAATAATTGCGTTACAAGGAATGATATTTAAAATACATTTGGGAGGCAATGGGGCGGGAAAGTGCCTACATGTTTTGCTGATGATACCCGGGCCATTTGGAAGACATCAAAGTAGTGAGGAGGTAGCCCAGATGCATATTATAAACTCATTATGTGTATCATTTAAAAGGATGTACTCCAGCAGCAAAAACAATCTTCCCATTCTCTGCCTCGCCTGTAATGTGTGTTCGCAAAGTCGCAACTTTTTTGATGCCTTCAGTCAATGTGACAGCTATTACCGCCTGGCAAAAATGGAATAAATGTCATTTATATTCCTATTGGCAGGGTCATTAGCATATGGATAAGACAGCGCGAGGCAGTGTCTATGGAGGGAACTGGAATCTCACAATTTCTGATCAAAAAAAGATTAATCGGCGTCTAGGAAAATGATAATTATTGTATTTAGATTAGAATTATTGTATTTAGATAATTATTGTATTTAGTATAAAATTATTTATTGTATTTATTGTATTTATTGTATTTGTATTTATTGTATTTAGATGCACGTTTACATTACGAAAACGGAAAAATAAACAGATTAAGTTGGGAATGCTTTATAATTTCCGCATTCCTGACTCATTTTTGATTCCATTCAAACACACTTGTGAATTAAAAAGAGCGGCAATTCTTGTTCTCTGAATTTTGATCAATCATGATAACTATGACTAAAGAGATAGTTCACCCCAAAATGTTAATTTACTCACTATTTACTCTCCCTTGAGGTGCTTTCAAACCTTATTATCTCCTGTTGAACATAAAACAAAGTGAAGTTTATTTATAAACTAATTTGAAGAGGATCACGTGCTTATGATTGCTTGTGGCTGGTCCCTCATTGTTCAATTTATGATTCACCAATCAGACGATTCCTAAGCCACTATAAATACCCTAAGTTCCATATCACAGCCATCTTAGTTCTGAAGAATCCACCTTCCACCCCTACTCCCCCTTTCCTAGATGGGTGGCACAGTGGCCCAGTGGTTAGCACTGTTGCCTCACAGCAAGAACGTCATTGGTTCTAGTCCTTACCAAGCCAGTCGACATTTCTGTGTGGAATTTACAAGTTCTCTCTGTGCTCAAGTGGGTTTCCCCCGGGTTCCCCGGTTTCCTCCCACCGTCCAAAAACATGAATAAGTTAACTGACTAATCCAAATCGGCACCTTAGACGTGCTCCTAGTAAGTAGTTATCTGTTAAGAGCAATCACTATCTGTTCATTAGCTACTACAGCAGGGGAGTTCTCGAGATCTAACCATTCATTCATTTAAGCTTTCAGCTTAGTCCTTTATTTATAAAGTGTCGCCACAGCGGAATGAACCACCAACTATTCCAGCATATGTTTTACGCAGTTGATGTCCTTCCAGCTGCAACTCAGTACTGGGAAACACCCATACATTCTCACATTTACACAAACACTCATACATATGGCTAGTTTCATTCATTCATTCATTCATTCATTCATTCATTCATTTTTGGATGGATTAGTCTCTTTATTTATCAAGGGTCGCCAAAACGGAATGAACTGCCAACTTATCCAGTATATGTTTTACACAGCGGATGCCCTTGCAGCTGCAACCCAGTACTGGGAAACACCAATACATTCTCACATTCACACATACACTCATACATTATGGCCAATTTCATTCATTTTCCTTCGGCTTAGTCCCGTAATAATTAGGAGTTGCCACAGGGGAATGAACTGCCAACTATTCCAGTATATGTTTTACGAAGTGGATGCCTCTCCAGCAGCAACCCAGTACTGGGAAACACCCATACACTCTCGCATTCATACACACACACTACGACCATAGATATATAGACTAGATATCGCATAGGGACCCTGAGCATGCATCAATAGCGCCGCCACATTAGTACAGTGCTCCCAGGACAAATGTCATTCAACCGCACTAGTCAAGACAGTGTTATTACGTGAAGATGCGGGACTTTAGCGCTGTCTACGGGTGTAGTAACGAGCAAACAAAGAAAACCTGATTTGTGCTAATCAGGTAACGTTATTGAGGATAACAGTCACTTACTGCATTCACCATACGGCAAAGCAGCTCCAACTCGCACTAAACACTTGGCTTATGCTAGTTTTGTTGAATAAAATCAGCAAAAAATGCAAAAGAAATACGACAACGAGATGCTGCGCTGCCAGAAACTTGTATTATTGTCAGCTAACGTTAGTGAAAGAGTCGTTCGGGGGATTCATTCACAAACAAATCGCTCCCTACGTCAGTATGAGAAGTGAAAGCAGGAGAGGAGGTGTGTTTCAGGACACGGGTTAGATTAAATTTAACAGAGAGGGTGAATAGTACATTTCTATACACACAAACACAAGCTTTTTGTCAGGAATGCCCGTGCGGTCACTGATCCATCAATGTAGAAAAGTGATGTAAAATTTTAATTTTCGTAATTAAAAAAAAATAATTACACACTACCATCCAAGAAAACTCCCGATCACAGATATTTGTGTATATGTGTATATCTCTGGCTTTGCATGGCCACAGTCGCGCTACCCTGTAGCAAGATGGCGGCGCTATTGACGCATTCTGTCCAATAGACAACAATAGGCCAGGCGACATCTAGTGTGTATATCTATGCACTAAGACTAATTTAGCTTATTTAATTCACCTATAGTGCACGTGCTTGGACTGTGGCGGAAACCGGAGCACCCGAAGGAAACACGAGGGAGAACATGCAAACTCCACACAGAAATGCCAACTGGCCCGAACGGGATTAGACCCTTCTTGCTGTAAGGCAATAGTGCTAATCACTGAACCACCATGCCACCAACCCACTTCCATAGTCAATATAGTTACCATACCTGCCAACACTCCCGTATTTCAGACCCATCTCCTGCCCTTCTCCCATATCGATTTGTCTGCTGGAAACTTTCCTCCATAAATAAATTTTGTATCAGAGTGCAGCAATGTTTTGTCAGCTAAACATCCTCTGAAAAAAAAAAAAAAAACGAGTTCCCTGTCAATCTACATACAAGTTAATGTTTAGATTTCAAAAAGTTTTACAAATATGTCATATGTACATGCAATATATTTTTCCAAATTTATCAAAAATTGTATAAATATGAATATGATTGGTTCCATTTAAGGCTCTGGTAAACAGGATTTGGATCACAGTGATTCAACCCAATGTTCCTTTAAAAAAACTGTCATGAAAGCAAGATAGATCCGTTAATCCTGAACAGAAAAACATAGGACTTCCAAATCTGGACCAATTTGATTCAGATTTTTTTTTTAACTGGGCCCTGAATGTATATTTTTGGTTCAACTAAAACAAACAAACTCATAAAGGTTTAGAAACATCTAGAGATAAAAAAAAAAATGATGAGTACATTTTAGTTTTCAGTTGAACTTTCTCTTTAACATGCACTTGAACTGGTGCATACCTATAATACAGAGGCAGGTGAATGTATTTTAATCCAAAAATCATATCTAACCATAAAAGCTGTGATTAAATGCTAAAAAGGTTTTCAGCCGAGCTGTAAAAGCTGTTTAGACATCAACAATGAGTCACTGCCTTCTATCTGCTACACATGTAAATAGTAGAGTTATTCTCCACTCATGTGACACTGTAAAAATAGTCCTGATGCACATGCGGCAGACTCGGATATCAAAACAAGCCTCCAAGCGCAGAGGCAGAAGGCCATTTCAAAGATCCCAGGACTTTTAGTATCTACTCAGAAAGAAGCTAGTGTGGATATTAGTTAAAGTATATCTAGGAGGAGTCTGATGTATAACTCAAGCTCTCTGCGCTCTTTAGAGCAGGAAAGGCACCAGATGAGACTGGCTGCCCCGGTTGTTAGTGGATACCTGCTGAGGAAAGAAGCCCGGGACAGAGGGACGTCTTCCAGGCAGACCACTGGAAACCCTGTGATGGTGTGCCGGGACCCTGTTGTTCAAAATGCCCTGTACACTGGAAACATAGAAGCTGTGAAAGAGGTCTTCTCCAGAGGCTATCCTTCAGACCTGATCATCCAGCCTCAGGGAGGAGACATGCGCTGGGCCGCAAATGGAAAAGTGAGAGGTAAGGCTACATCTGTAAATAAGCAACAGATAAAAAATAATAAAAGCTGGGAATGTGTTACACAAGCTCAGACTCATTAAAAGTATGTTCGTCATCCTACATTTTAGCGAAACATAAAATACATTGCTCCTTGTACATTTTGTTACACGTTTCAAATGACAAATCCACTAGAGGGCGATGTATACATTTTTGCATATCAGAAAATTGCTACTTAGTGTGCATTTTGTTATACATTTCAGACACACATCTGTCTTGTACATGTCCAAAAGTAGGAGGGGCTTGTCATTCAGATTACCTAGCAAACTACTGACGTAAATCCCCAAGAATTCCCTAAACCCAACCAATAGTATTTCCAAAAGCAAACGTAAGAGAAAAGTGCACAGCGACCACGTAGTTCACATTGCTTTTATGTATGTTGTGGAAATATGCTTCAATGGAATCGAACCCGAGCGCTCTGAATCAGTACAACACCATGCAAAGTGAACTACTGAGCAAACTGACCACATCAGAAAAGTTGTCCACATGAAGGTAAATAAGTGAGGTAATTGTATTAAATTATAAATCATTACAATATTTTGTGGTATTTTATTTGTTGTTGTGCAAACAACTGCACAAAAATAATCCATTATTCGTCAATAATATGTTCTAGTACAGTGGTTCTCAAACTGTGGTACGTGTACCACTAATGGTACGCGGGCTTACTTCTAGTGGTACATTGAGGAATCGCTGAGTAATGAAAGAACAAATAAATGAAATTTTAATCATTTGATGCATACGATAACACCAATGTGATCAGCATTGGCTGTTTTTTAAAGCCTACAAAAAAAAAGCGCTGTGCTTAGAATGTTTACTTTAGTGCATCGCGTCATCAGCTGCTAAAAATCAATCCAATTGGCGCCGATCTAGAGAAAAAGGTGCAGGATGCGTGTAGAGCAGATACATGCTGGAGCAGTGGTCCCCAGCCACCGGGCCACAGACGGCACCGGTCTGTAGATTAATTGGTACCTACAATCATACAATCAAATCATTAATTATTTCCGTTTTATTTATTATAGTCTGAACGATCATTTATTTTGAAAAATGACCTTATTCTCTTGTTACATCTCGGTCATTTGAGTGTCAAAATTTAACCCACAGGCTATAAAAATGAGTAAGAACTGCAGTACGACGCGCTTGCGTTTTCCAGGAATACCCAGTTGAAAAAATCCTAACTTTTCAGAATGCCGCACTGCGAGCCACGTGACAAAATCTGATCAGCTTCATATTTTGTATAGAATATAATTTTGGTAGGTTAATTATCTCAGACAAACCGAGAACACCCAAACACTGCAGTGCTTTTAATTTCCTCCATAAATAAAAGTTGTATCAGAGTGCAGCAATGTTTTGTCAGCTCAACATCCTCTGAAAAAAAACGAGTTCCCTACCAATCTACATACAAGTTAATGTTTAGATTTCAAAAAGTTTTACAAATATGTCATATGTACATGCATTATATATTTTAAAATTTATTAAAAGTTGTATAAATATGAATATGACTCTGCCTCGAACTGTGCAGTGCTGTAGCTGCTTAATTTGACCAACTATGCTGCTTTATTTCAATACTGGTCATTATGGTGGTTTTTGGAGAGACAATTTTACTTGGTGAAAAAAGTTTGAAAACCACTATCCTAGTAAATATCATTAGTGTGAAAAGGAAAGATGCTGGCGTCATACTGCTCGTATCATTCATTTTACCTAGAACCTGCGGTCAAATGTTTGGTCAAATGCGTTTTTGTTGTATTTCAAGTGAGCCTGCGTTGAAATGTAATCTGGACATGGTAAATACCGCCATTTGTCATTATCACATAACCTACAGTACAACTCCAGCTGTGTCTCATAAAATATTGCACGAAGTAGTAATGGTATAGTTGTTTTTTACTGTTTTATTACTACTATGAATTTAAACAAACTACTGATTTCAAATGACTGCAAATTGTTATGGCTATATGTGTTTGTTTAGAAACCTTTTTAGTTTATAGTAGAATTTTCTAAAAGCTTCTTGAAGCAGGAGAGCATTCGCAGGTGAATTTTCTGTCCCCTTTTGCAGACACGTTGCTCGTGTAAAGTAACATTTATCTTTAGCAACTGAAAGTTAATAGCACATAGCGGGCACATACCAATATAAATATAGATACCTATTAGTGCAAAACTCATGGCTAAACATACGCATTCTAGAGCAAAGAATACAAAGATTCAAGAAGGCATCAGATACTCACTCATAACTATTGACTGAACGTAATATTAAAATTTAAGTGGACTGAACACCAATCCATTAAGTTGTCGCCAAAAAAAGAGAATTGTGTTGTTTTAACTTATTTTAAATAAGTAGTTTGAACAAGCAGCAAAAGTCCATTTTTGAGTGTACGTACACTGTTAAAAAGGCTGGGCTATGCACAATCCATTTGTGTGGAGACCAACTTGCCAGTTTTTTTTTAATTTAAGTGGATTGAACATAAAACAATTTAGTTGTCCCCGAAAAACTCAAGAATTGTGTTGATTCAGCTCATTTTAAATAGTTTGAACAAACAGCATTTTTTAAGTTTACGTTTTCACAAAATCAAATTTTCGTAAATAATGCGTAAATTATAGTTTCTATAAACGAACAACAAAAATAAATTTTAAAAATGACTGTTTTTGTACTCTTTCCTAATGTTGGGTTCAGAAGGAAGACAGCATCTTGTTTTCTTCAGAGCGTTTTTATTGTTTGGCTTCTGCATTTGCCTCTCTTTATCGATTCGTTCCCTTAATTTACAGATATTTGTCTAATTTTAGATAATGTTAATAGTTTGTTAAACTATAACAGTAGGTAAAATTACTTCTTTTGTAAAGCTGCAATCACACTGCACTTTTCGCTCCATAGACTTCCATTCATGGGCATGCGAATAGGGCAGACCAGTAACGCGAAACTAGTCGCATGTGCTTGCATTTCACTGCATTCGAAAGTCCAAGCTTGGTGAATTCTTACCTGTTAAATCACACATCACGTGATTGCGTTAGACCAATAGAAGATAACATGGAGCAAACGCTCATTTTTATTAAAGTCTAATCATATTGTTTAATACCACTCCTTTTCACAGTGCCATCCGACAAAGTTTCACAAGCACAAGCTCTAGTGTGACCGCAGCTTAAGTTGCCTTGGACAAAAACGTCAGCTAAATGACTAAATGTAAATGTAATTAGCATGACTTTTCCAAAACATTGTGGGTTTTTCTGTTTTTCCAAAACTTTTCCAGGCCTGGAAAATGCCATGTCGAAATGGTTTACCATGACCGTATGAACCCTGCCATAAATTGCTACTAAAGTAATCAAATACAAGCTAATAAAAAAGATCTGTGAATTCCATCTCACAAAGTCTCGGGCCAGCACACGGTTGCTAAATGTTTAACCATACAGTACAATTCCTACTGAAAATTTGGGTATTTCAGTAGCTCCTGAGAGGTCTGAATAATTACTTGAACTGCTCAAATCTACTTGGCCAAACAACCCCGGCTTTCTGGATCACTCTAAAGGTCATGCCAAGCGGCCTTAAAATAGTCCCTCTCTAAAAACAGGCAACAAACATTAAGGGTGAACATTGTGCCAAGTCTGAAGATCAACACAAGCTCAATGCTGAAGCTCCATTCGCATTTGTGCTTTGCTTTACCTCCCGTATGGCGCCGAAGATTAAGTTTCGCAAACAAAAGCAATATCGCAGCGATGTGATCATGACGGCTCAAGCGTCGGGAATTATCCTGCAGTTCTGGAACGCACTTCTGGTGGGAGATGAACTGACTGTCATTAGTATTATTGACGACCCAGAATACACATTTCTCATAGACGCCATTTATGACACCAGCAACATAGAGGAGTGGAAGAACTTCAGGTTTAACTACAGAGGGCTAAGTATGTTATAGGTGCACAAATTATATTTTAAGATAAAAAAAATAATAATAATTGCTGCTTGTTTACTTATTTAAAATGCAACATAGGCTCAATCTGAAAACGTAGCCCTGTATACATTTCTGGAGATCGGGAATTATGTAGCCAGAGGTATGTATGGCTGCATTTGGTCTTTAAAATGAACACTTTGGGATGGCATGATGCAGTTCCTTTTCGCGCTTACCAGCTGACTGCTTACCTCCGTATGGACGGCTTTTCTGCTGCTACTAGTTTGTCCAGTGGCTCGCCGCATACTTCAGCGGACTTGTGATGTGGAGCGGAGTTGACTGCGACGACCGAGTTTAAGTCTGGTGAAGAATGGTTCCAGAAAGAAGGTAAGACAAAAAAAAGCAAAAAATAAAATAAACAAGTAAATAATAGGGTGAGAATATGGTTAAATTTGAAAACATAATAAAAATCTGACTGCAGCAAGGGTTTTTTCGTTGGTGGGCGGGTCAATTGATGCTTTTGAAAACACTATCGGTTGGGTTTAGGGAAAAAGGAGGGTGGGTCAGTTGATCGGTCAGTCAGTCAGTCAGTCAGTCAGTCGACATCGGCCTCTGGTGGATTTACAGGAGAAGAGCAGGCGCGAATGGCACTCACAAAAGAAGTTGAGATTTCAAAAAGCATACACAGCGGCCTCTGGTGGACTTACGTGAGAACAGCAGACACGAATGGCACTTATGAGACATACTTGAGATCTGAAAAAGCAAACACAGCAGCCTCTAATGAATTTGTGAAGACATAAACTCTTAAAAACATATCTCTTGGGTTGTATTTGGTGCTCTCCGGAAATGTTTATAGTGCTACGTTTTCAGAATGAGCCTGGGTTGTTAAAATAAGTTGAAAAATCACAGTTTTTGGGGGACAACTTAATTGTTTTTGGTTCAAT